AATTTATTTTCCGATTGTAATTCTACCTTGAAACCATTTTTAAACCACAGGGTACACACACTGGTGACGGATCGAGACAAACACACATTCACACTCAGCTTTTCACCTTTGAGAAGTAAATTTCAATTACTTTTAAGGTGAAATCATAGATTTATTTCTAAATTCATTTTATGTGTTTGAAGATTTTTGCTGAAAACATGTAAAGATTGAGAACTGTAGTACTCCGTCGTGGTGATACTGTTTTTTTTTTTGGGGGGGGGGGGTTGTGGTGGTGGTGGTGGTGGTGGTGGTGGTTGTGGTGGTGGTGTTGGGGGGTTATATAAAATGCTTCTGTTCATCTGGTCCTGGCTACAGAGTGCAAACATTTCAGACAGGGAATGGAGGCTGAAACAGCAGGTTGCCTAAGAAAAAAAAAAAAAAAAAAAAAAGGAAAAAGAAAAAAAAAGCTTGGAAAAGAGAAAGAGGAAAAGCATCACCAGTCACTTTTCCATTAGCAAAAAGAAACCACACCGCTTCACTTGACCTGGCAAGGCAGCACACCTCCTCCTTTGCTTTTCCTTACAAGCGGGTGTGGGGCAGGATCAGCTGAATTTTGCAAGCCTGCAATGCACGGTGCCCACTCCGTGGCGTGTGAGGTTCTACCGTACCATTTTACAAGTGGGCAGTCTCACCGTTGTTTTTCAAAATACGAAGCTTTCAAATATATTGACGAAAAATCTGTTTCCTGATTTGAGCCAGAGAGACACAGCCACATGTATTTTATTTCGACAACAATTGAGAGGGCTTGCCCACACTGTTGTCCTATGTATGAATGAAATACGATGACATCAGCAAGAGAAACAATTTCCCAGCGCTTTGATCAAATCCACCAAAACAGCGTTGCACTACCCGCACCACAATTTACACTTGAGGCTCTATTTTTGCGGCCCTCACAATTATTGCGCAATTGTAGTTCAATGGAACTGTGCCATTCGATGGAAGTGGCTCCCCACCACCCCCGCACCAACTTGTCAACGCATGGCAGTCCATTAATCGCTATCTGCATGTCTATGTAGTTTGGGGGCCATTTTTTTAGTGGGGGGGGGGGTTGTAATTTTTTTTTTTTTGTATCTGCAAGTAATAAAGAGTCAAAGTGGCAAAAAAGCAATGTTCCTCAAAATAAATGTAATGTATTTATCAAAGGGATACTCACCCCCAAATCAACCTTTTTTGGTTTGTTTCTTTACTGACAAACTGGATAAACAGGTGTCGGGTAGTCGGGTTTGCGAATATTTTTATATTGATCTTCAGGTTAGTGATTTATTAGTACGGCATTTGGTTAGTTTATTTAGGATAGCTTGTCATAGGATACAAATTATTTCGGTCGTAGTTTGTCACTGCCTCTGTCAATCATAGCCAAAGATGTCGTCAAGGGGAGCAGCAGCTAGCTTTCTGTATGTCAGTCCTCTGTGTCCCGCGGGAACAAGCCAAGTACCAAAGAGGGAAGGTGAGCAGCTGTGTAGAAAATTCATTATTATTGCGGAATGAAAATGAAAAAAAAAATGTTCATCAGAAGGGCGCCATGGTGATCGACTGGTTAGCACGTCGGTCTCACAGTGCAGAGGTGCAGGGTTCCTTTCCAGGCCTTGGCCTTCCTGTGTGGAGTTTGCATGTTCCCCCCGTGCCTGCGTGGTTTTTTTCTACGGGTAGTCTGGTTTCCTCCTTCATTCCAAAAACATGCACCGTAGGTTTATTGATGACTCTAAATTGTCCCTCTGTGTGATTGTAAGCACGGCCGGTTGTTTGTCTATGTGAAAGTTTTGATTCCCACAAAGGAGGCTTTTTGTGAGTAGCCATCCGTGGATCTAATGTGATACTTTTACTGTGCATCGTTTGTTGCCTCATCTGTACTTTGTCATCCTTGTCTCTCAATCCTCACGCCCCCCCCTCCCCTCCCTACCCCACTGCCCTTTCCTGCTCTCCAATTAAACTTCAGCGGCAGGTTTCCATCAGCCGTCTGGTCATCTGCAGCAGAAAGCCTGTCAGGAAATTAACTCATCACGGGGTGACAGCTGCTAATTTCTCCCTCCTCCATGTCACACGAGTGGTCTGCTGCAGTTAATAACGAGACATCCTGCACTGATTAGGGAGATACACACAAGAGAGGGAGGGTGGAGAGAGATGCACACAAAACAGGTCACAATTACTCAGTCAGACGTGGAGAATATGAACTGTGCAGATGAACAGACAGGCGTCCATATTTAGAACACGAGCATCAACAGAATTTGCCGGGGATGCGAGTGGAGGGCACGGACCCTGTTCCTCTCTCTCTCTTTCTCTCTCTCACTCCCTCTCTCTCAGTGCCTTATGAAAGTATTATCTCCACTTGAACTTATTGACCTTTTCCCACATTTCTGGTTTTAAACACAAAGATATAAAATTTCCACATTCTTAAAAATTTTAAACTATTTACTTACTTATGACTACAAGTTGGCATTATGTGTCATGAATTTTCACATTTTCATACTTCTATATTCCACAAAGCTTTTAACAGATATTTTGTGATGTGTTGTCGCAGACGCGGTTCCTTCTGTGTATTTATTACCACTTGGTCATTTATTTTGGCGAGTCCACTTCCGGGGACCTTCTGTTTGTCTTTTTCTATTAATTAATTCTTAACATGTCCTGTCATGATAAAACATTTTGCCCCAGAAATGATTGTAATAAATGATATCCCCTGATAATCGTATAATGATGCCATTGCACCCTTTTAAAAATGAATACACTTTTATTTCTTGAGAATATTTTAAAAGAAATTATATAATGAAAAAAGACATTGTAAATTTCCAAAATAAATAATCAAAATCACCCAAAATATAATGGACTATCAATCTCTCTTCCCAAAAAAAATGCTCAGGCTAATTTTTGCTCATCCTGTCGACGGTCTGCAAAAGCAGACTGGGTTTTCTGCAAGGATGTCAGCAGTGTGATTTTCGGCAACATGTCAATTTTCGAAACGCTTGGAGTGCAGGGTCCAGTCAGCAGTAATATAATGCATGGTCAAGCTCAAATAGGGGTCGTGTTTGGGCTTGACCACATGTCCGAAGTAGTAGAGTAACCTGACATGTCTTTGATCTCCCGCACTATGTCGGCCTTCAAGTTGTTGTATAGTTGCCGCTGCCGACGAATTGCCGTTTCAGGAATGTATGTTTCCCCTGGCTATTCGAACTGCCCATGAAATTTGTTGAAATGCCGGCTTCTCAACAGTGCTAAAGGGCTGCATCGCTTTTGCGATGAAGCAAACTACAGCGTCTGCGAGTTTGTATTATTTTGAACTGTCCCGTTTATAATTTGTTTGTTTCAAAAACACCCCGTGATAATGGAGTGTCGGGATGGAGTTGATGGCCCCTTAACATCTTTGGTTGACAATTTTGAGCCGAGCTGCGAAAGCTGTAATGAATCATTGTGCCTGAGATGAAGTTGCTAGCTTGAAGTGTTGCCGCGTTTCGCCTGGCCTTTTTCATATATTTAATACATACAGAAAAAAAGAAGAAATAAATTTAAATTCTGTGGCTCACCACGGGCATTTGGCTTCGATCCAAAATATTCCCACATGTCAGCTGTTGCTCTCGGCTTCGATAACAACTCCATTTTTATTTATTCCAAATCTGTCTCGACTACAAACTGGACCTCACACGCTGCAATCTAATGTGCCATGTGCCCCGCCTTCCCGAGTGCCTGGCAGGAGGGTTCACCCCTCATTGCGCTAAACGCTTCCATAGGAGTCAGTCGCGACGGATATGGTAAATGGCAAAGCATTATCGAGCCCGGCTCATTTCTAATTATGTAGCAATTCATTTATTGATCATGACGACACCTCTTGACTTTTTTTCTTCATCTGAATCTCGGTGACCTGTAACCATACTTCAGGCTTAAAAATGGTTGAAAACTCATTTGTAGTACTGTACTTTGGTTTTTAACCTGACTGACATTTTTTACTTGCAATCATATGCAATTCAGAGCTTACGGTGCCACTATGCCACTAAAACCATTGAGTCCATCATACTCATCCAAACTAGAATATGTTGATTTAGCAATTTAGGAATCATATGGTTGTAAATTCTGCAAATGTTGAGCATTCAAATGTGATTCCTCCAGTCAGTGGATGTTGAACATTGCTTCCGAGATATGTGCCTGACCTCTGTTAAATGTGCAGGCCTTTGCTGAAAGGGAAGGGAGGGGAAAAAAAAAAGCATGAAAAAGAGTGACTTTATAAATGCTGTATGAGTGTGAGAACAGGAGACTAAGATAGGTTGAAAAAGCAGACAGGTGTTTGGTGAAATTGCTGGCTCTGCGTGTGTGTTTGTGGGCTTTACTGCTCTCCCACTTCTCGGCGGCCTCACCTCTCTCAACATCCATCTGCAATCCTCTCATTTCTCCTGCCCACTCGTCCACCACTTTCTCTCTCAGCCCACCTTCTCGCTCGCTCTGTGTGTGTGTGTGTGTGTGTGTGTGTGTGTGTTAAAGGGATGATCTTTTGATGCCCTCGTAGTGTGCGAGTGCTTTCTCCCTCTACTTTTAGCGGTCAGCCATTGTGCTCACAGCCGTCATACTGCTCTCCCACTCACTCCATCAGAAACTACAGGCCTGTGTAGCAGCCTAAATGAATATTGATTCTCCCTCCAGTGCCAAATACTGCGGGGGGGGGGGGGACGGACGATGAGTGTGTTACAGGCAATGAAGGGAAGAGGCCTGATGGGGGGAAAGGAAGAGAGGATGGCGATTAGGGTGATGGTGATCATTGTGGTGATAATGATAATGGTGATGATAATGACTGTGTTAGTGATCAGAAAGCATGATGGGAGCTATCAGTTAATGCACGGATGTGCATGGGGGTTTCTCACTGGACGGCGCGGTGCTGTGCTCGCAATTGCCGTATTGATGATGAAATTACATGACAATCACAGCAAACCCGAGAATAAAGTGTCAGGACCACACAGAAAACCGATGGATGCACTTGATAAAATTGGCTTCAATCTTTATTGTAAGAAATGAAAATGAATTTAGAATACACAAAGCTCACCAATAAGCAAACGGCCTTCAAACTGTCGGCATAATGTCGCCATAATATAGCCTCAGCGATGCATAAGATGTGCTTTCAAACGTTGCAAAACAGTGGTTAGTAGCTAATCATATGCTAATGACTACAAAAGATAAGACAAAAAAATTATAAAAAAGCTTAATGTTATGTTCAGCAAAACAGTAATGGTGGGGGGAGGGGGACAATACATCCACTGCAACACTAAAAGGCAGATTACATATGGACACCTTAGTGATGAACAATTATAATTTGTGATGTTGACTGCAAAACATTTTTTCAGAAAGGTGGCAAGGCATGATTTAAGCTTTGTCTGGGTGCTAGCAAACATAATTAAATGCACCTTATTATGTATTCAGTGTCTAACTGGAGTTAGACTTGGGGTGAGGATGAAAAACTAAAGTCCAAATGGTGCTCCTCCAACTAAGGGGCGTCATGGTGACAGCCCTCACCCGGCCTGCCGCTCTCAAGCATCATCCACGGCAGCCTCTTCATACACACCTCCCTCCACCTGTAGGGTGCAGTTGTCCAGTTCCGTAACGATGTAGTGGGTGCCCTCGTCGTTGACGATGACCTGGGTGAGACCTTCCTTTATCATCCGAGAGGCTGCCAGCTGTAGCAGGTTCTGCATCTCCTCCTGCCCCGCCTGGTTAATGACCTGCACCTCCTCCTCCTGTTTGATCACAGGCTGCACGTCACTCTCCACAGGCTCGACCGTCTCGGGGGCGGCGACCTCGTGAGCGGCGGATGCTTCCTCGTGCATTTTCTCCTGCTGGCCCATCTCGCTCACAACGCTGAGCAGAGCATCCAGAGCTGTGGACGACTCGGACACGACATGACTTTTTCCCGCGGCTGCCGAGTCTTCGCCAGCTTCCAGAGCTGCAGCCTGCAGCTCATTGGCCTCGCCCGTTGACAGCACCACATATCGGGCACTTCCTCTCGCAAGCTGGGCCCCTGCGGACGCCACCTCCCTGCCTGAGGCGATCACTTGTCCGTCTTCTGTGATGTGGAGAACCTCTGCCACCTGGCCCGCCATGGCCAGAGTCTGGAGGGTGGCGGCAGCCGACTCCTCCAGAGTCTGGTCGACGGCCACCTCTCCATCACTGTAGCCTTGGATGATGATGACCTGCTGGACGTCGTCTTCATTGCTGAGCTTCCTTTCCACAGAGGAATCCACGACATCCGTTTCCACAAAAGAAGCCCCCTGGCCTTTAAGACGGCACTCAAAAGCCTTGGACACAATGCCTGAGGGGAAAGGAGGAGAAGCACGTTAGCACAACATTGCGTTTTAACATCTATTTTGAGCCCAGATCAAGCCCCGACCCCCCCAAAAAACCAGGTGAGCGGTGATGTACAAAATGCAAGGCCGAGGGCTGTTTGACATCAATTTCAGTCAACATCAAGGGGCAATATTGGCAGCCATCACCTTTCGTTAGTTGAGTGTCCGCCCCCCCCCAAAAAAAAAGGCTAGTGGTGGACACGAATGGCTAGCAAACAGCCCGGAGGGGACAGTCGTGTTTTAAATAGTGACCTCACACACTTATATCTGTATGACTTAAAGATTGATGTGAGACAGATTGGGGGAGATATAAGGCTGCCAAGAAAAATTTACGAAGGCACAGCTGCTACTAATTGAGCCATGTGGTGCCATCTTGGATCACAAGTTGCCATGGTGTTACCAAGGTGATAGGAACACTGTTATAATGCTATTGTTTGAGCAATGAGCAATGCCGCGCTCTGACACAAATAGACAGAAGAAAAAAGCAGAGGTAGTGGTGAAGAGGGGAAGGCCGTTCATGTCTACGAAAGCGTCTGAGAATTTATTAGTATGAATGCCAAAAACAAGGGAAGAGTACATTTCACCTACCACAACACATATGGGTAAAAAGAAAGAAGAGAGCACTGAAAAAAAAAACGCACACTTTTTCAAGTTTTCAGCTTTCTTTTTCTTTTTTTTTTTTTTTATGTATGGCTCAGGTGTGGTTGACATTTTAGAGGTGCAGGATTTAATGCTCAGACGACATCACAAAGATCTCGGAGTGTATGGAGGGACAAAATCATCCATCACGGATATACTTATCTCTCCTAGACATTTCATGTCCAGCAGCAAAGGTGACAATGTGATCAGAAAGTTGGTTTCTACAAATATGCCGTTGCTTTGGAATGCAATTACTAAAATACTGTGTCATGACAAAATAACAAAAATAATACCATTTTAAAATGATGCCTTATGATTTGGAATTGTCATTGCTCATCGACAGACAATCTGACTTCAACGAACACATCATACTGACTACCAAAAATATAAGTTAGCTGCTGATATTCTATTTTCTTGGGGTGTTTTTTATGTTTCTTTGTTTAAATGTTTGTTTACTTTGCAGTATTGGAAGTTTTTTTTCACCTTCTGCAAACAATACAAACATCATGATGTCAAAATTCAGCCATATAAAGTGCATCGATAAACATATTTTTAAGATTATGGTGAACAGTTGCTTAGCAGCAGTTACATACAAAGTACTGTATATGATTGCTTTTTTTTTTTGTAACAGGAAAAACAAAAAAATATTATTATTATTATTATTATTTTTTTTACAAGACTTACCACTGATGACTACAAAGACCATTTGGAAAAATCTGGAAGACATGCTTGTGGAGTTGGGCGAGCTACCAGCGTTAAAGTGTTTTGCTTTGGTTTGTTTAGGTTTAGACTTGGGCTCATTGGGGGTTCATTTTAAGATTTTTTTATCCTAGGTTTGGTTCTTAAAATTCACCAAAACGCAAATAATTTCTCCCACCTTTCCCACCACCGTGACTCTCAATTTAGTTGAAGGCATTTTGGAAAATGCTGTTCTGAAGACCTTTTTTTCTTTTCCAGCACCAGTGAACACATACTTCAACAGTTGTTGTCACGGACACAAAAGAGTGTCCAAATGCAATTTTTTTTTCCTCTCTCTCTCTCTCTCTCTCTCTCTCTCTATCTATATATATATATATATATATATATATATACACACACACACACATTTTGAGTATCTGTATCTATAATTATAATTCTATACTGTTGTCTACATTGCATGTCATGGAGTAGTCCGACTGCCAATGCCTACATGCTAGAAGCCAATGGATTGGTTTGTGTGGATACCCCAGAGGCTGTGCGATTAACATAACCAACAGGGACCTTTCAATACATAGCCATGCTCAATAAATTGTTGTTTTTTTTTTTTTCCTCCAGTACTTCATTTGTTTACGAATCTCACGTTACTCTACATTGGTTGAATGTGTCTGTAAAATGTTCAGGCAGACGCATCTTAGTTCATGTCCCTATTAGAACAAGAAGTCCCGTATGTGGTTGTGGGCGTACTTATGTTGTGCCGTGGGGGTGGTGAGGCTATGCGTTGCTAGTGTGCGTCACATTAGCCATGGGGTGCTGTTGGCAGGTCCCAGCGGCAGCCTGCTGAGGTTTATGGAGTGTCACTCAGTCGCCGCAGCCGTGAATCAAGTTAATGTTGCACATCCCATCTCTTGTGCTGTCCTGCGCTCCCGGTGGAAGAACAACATTTGAACAGCGTGATTTGGCCCTGGCAAGAGGTTGATGCCTGTTTAATATGTGTTCTGACTGTTCTAAGTGACTGATTCCTTTAAAAGGAAGTAGCAGAGAGGATGAGCGAGAACGCAAAGAATGAATGGGGAAAGATGTGAGAGATGTGAAATAAGATGGAGACTTGCTGAGAGGAGTGAAAAAACAAGAGGAAGAAAAGCAGAAGCCAAGACAGTTGGCGATGTCAGTTTTATTTTTCATAGCAAAAATGTCGAGGGTAACTTACTGGGGCACTGGGCTAAATAATCAGAATCAAAATGACGCGATTTTTGGCTCAATCGCGATACACAATCAATATGCTGGCTGATACTTATGATCGGTTGATTGATTTGTTTTTTCAAAATGAGCACCAAAGGGCAGTGATGTTGTTGGCAGCCATTTTAGTTTTATTCAGTCTAAGTGTTTTTTTGGATGAAAATACTTGATCTTATCTCGTGATCGTTTTAGTCCAATTTTAGTGAACAAAATTCAAAAAGGGTTTAGTCCAGGCTTAGTAACATATTTCATTATAATTATTAATACAATAATTCTGATTTTTTTTCATAAGCACATGTAGTACATTTCATAATTTTGACAAAATAGTATCACAGTAAGACTATATAATGGCCTTAACCATCAAACAAGTAAAACAAAGCTCCAATAGCTTATTAACTACTTGACTAGTACCCACAATTTACTTAATCATTTTGATTTGTGGTATTTTGGGGATATTGTTTCGTTTGTTTGTTTTTTTTTATTTTTGTGGTGACAGTAATTGGTCGAAAAGGCTACAACTCTCTTCATGGTTTAAACACTCACAAGCCAAAAATCCCTGCGTGTGCTAACTACACAACAGTGGCAAACACATGAGCTTATCACGTGGTCACATATTTTTTGGTGAGTTTGGTCTGACAACGCTTTAAAAATAAATAAATAAATAAATAAACAATGGGTGCGGATCTCAGTTTTTCTCTCTCACATCAAGTTTTTGAGCCACACGATCCCCGTCTTGTTAAAAAAATAAAATGTGTGTGGATGTAAATAAAACACGAAGATAGAATGGTTACAATGGTAGGGGTCAACCATTGTAACCATTCTATCCACCCCCGCAAAAAACCCTGCATCAAATTAAATATAACTTACAACAGTATGTCCATGGTTAAAAGGTAAAGAAAAAAAACAGTACTCATCCTCCTAATTCCTAATACGCTAACTTGACGTGGCAGAAAAAAAAAAATGGATGCAATTTTGAAATCAGCATATCAATTTTAGTTTAATATGCATACTGTAAAAATCTAACTCAATAGATTTTTTTTTTCGAAATTGTTCCCCAGTGTGGACATCAGCACAACTGACTAAGGTCTGAAGCTAGCTCGTAGCTCATTTGCGCCAGGTGTTATGTGGATAATAACGAACTGGGTTATGAGGGCTTTATGGTTGCGTGTTGCCGTTGAGGAGTTGTCACGAACACATCATGTGAGTGCTGTTACTGTATTCGTTTTGGAACGAATCGTTCTGCTCGCATGTGAACGAGAGAGGAAGAGAAATGGGAGCGTGCGCAAGCTACAGTAAAGTATGTTTGCTTTTTGCGTCATTTTATTTTGGCATTAGCCACAGCCATACAGGAGCTGTGTTTTTGTTTTTATTAACTGTGAGTTCACTGACTAATCGTGATGCATAGCAGACGCTACACCAAACTACGGCCCGCGGGCCGAATCCGGCCCGCCGAAGGTTGTTGCACAATTAAGGTTCGATGTAAATGATTGCATTCATTTCATTTGGACTTGTAATGACAGGCATTTCAACGCCAGGTGGTGCAGTTACTTGAAGTTGCAGAGCACAGGGAGGGAGGGGGGAGACGACACTGAAGCCCGCACTAGCATCTACTCAAGCAAGTCCCGCTCGATACGACGGAATAAGTGTGTCCGGCTGTCCGTGCTGCTATTTCTATCATTGGATCCAAAACAGCGACATGCAAGAGACTCTTTATTGCAGTGAGTTTTACTGGAATTACGAATATTTTTACGTCCTGTAGATCATGGCATCCAAACGAAGAGGAACAGTAATGGCCGCGGAAGAGAAAGTGAAGTGTATCTGATTAAACGACGCGGGTTACAAAGTACGAAACATTCAGGAGACGCTTGGAGTCGGAAAGTCTCAAATCTACAAGACTTTGAAAAACGAGAAAGCGATTCTTGCTCAGTCCGATTCTGGCTATTTCCATGCTCAGAATGAAGTGCTTGCGGCTCGACGGACAGTCGAGTAAATAAACGTTTCCTGGAATTGCTTGACTGTTATCATGCTAAAATCTTTCAGCAAACTGGACCGCTAATAAGAGAGAAATCGAGTTCCATAACGCTACTATGAAGCGTGATGGAAGACTTTGAAGCGTCCTGTGGCTGGCTTCAAAAGTTCGTTGCATGACATCAGCTGAGCAACGCTGTCTTGTGTGGTGATCGAGGGGAGGTCAAGTTCGAGACAGCTAGTGAGTGGAAAGAAAGCCACCAGGTCTTTTACTCGTGTCATTTTGTAGCAAATAGTCCCAACTTTGTTTTATTTTGTCATATACCTATACTGTATGCTGCAGTTTTGGGGCAATATATTGTTGCACTTTGTTGCTTGTGTTGTCACACATGTATGTTGTTAACATACTTGGACGTTCATACAG